TCTGTTTTATACATTCAGCAACGAAGCTTACAAGAAGGCGAAATGATTTGCTCAAGCAAAGTAGGAAAAACTGGCACCGGTACTGGCATGACCAGTCTCTTCAACTCGAACTCTGTGCTGGCATTTCTCAAATGCCACGTGCACATACCTGACCTGGGCATATTGTCAAGGGTTGATTCTGATTCAGTAAGTTGAGGCCCAGCCTGAGACTCTGAGTTCGAACCAGCAACTAAGTGACACCTGGTCATGTCTGGAGTACTTGGCTCTATATTATCCATACACTTTCTCTCTGAAGCCACTGAAGGGGGGGGAGGCTTATGATTTTAAGATGAGGTCATACAGCAGGAAGCATTTTATCCAGGTTCACATCTGTCTGAGTCCTAACCCTGTTACCTCCCTGGCACTCTGCCATCAACTACATTCATACTTCTAGGTTGGCTTTCAATGTGGGGTGGTTGAGGGATCTGTATTGCAGTCTGGACCCTAGGGAAGACATGATGGGATTTGGAAACTTTGACGAAATGTTATTTCATGTGAAAGAGAGAGAGAGAGAGAGAGAGAGAGGAATCTTCTGTCATCTGGTTTACCCTCCAAAATTCAGCAACAGCCAGTAGGGTTCAGCTAGAATGGAACCAGAAGCAACTCAGTCCAGGCCATCCACATGGTGGCAGGAACCTACGTACTTGAGCCACCACCTCCTGCCTTCCAGAGTGCACAATAGTAGGAAGCGGATTCAAAAGTAGAACAGTGGAGTAACAGGCTAAGCCTCCTCTTGCTAGTTCCAGCATTCTCATAAGGGCATCAGTTCATGTCCTGGCTGCTCCACTTGTCATCCAGCTGGAAACGCAGTATAGGATGATTCGTGTCTTTGGGTCCCTGCACCCATGTGGGAGACCTGGAAGAAGCTCCTGGCTGCCAGTCTCTGACTGATCTAGCTCTGGCCATTGCAACCACTTGGAAAATGAGCCAGCAAATAGGAGATTTCTGTGTCTCTGTTCTCTAACTCTGCCTTTCAAGTACAACTAAATATTGTTTTAAAGGAGTGACATCAGACTTGAACCAGGCACTCTGATACAGCATTCAGGCAAGCGTCCACCACTGGGTGCATTTGTTGTTGACACTCCTTGGAGTAGAGAAGGAGGAGATGCTGCTGGTATATAATAGGAAAAAAAAAACCCCTAGGATGCTTCTGAACATCCTGGGACACACAGGGACGGCTCCTGTCACCCTTACAGCATGAAGTATTGCCAAATGTTCTTGACACAGAGGTTTAAAGTCCTCACTTCCCCAGCCCAGTGTCCTCTGGTCCCCCTGTAATAAATCAATCTTCTATCCCGGTCATTTCACACTGCTCCAGTCTTCTGTAGGTTCCAAGACTTCAGAGAGAATTAACCACGGAGAGACCCCAATGCACACCTGCCCTCCAAACGCAATCCCTTTTGCAAGGGGCTGTCCTGAGCCCATCCTGGGCACCCCTGGTCAGGTGTAGTCTTGCTTCTGGTCCATTCACTTCTTGTTCTTCAAAGAGTACACAAGATCTGATGCCCAACAGGTCTGAGAGAAGGGGTCTCTCTTGTGTGCTCCCCTTTTGTCCCAGTGGGTCTCTGGCTGGGTCCTAGCTTGTTTCTGTCTCTGGCAGACTGTTTTGGGGGGAAGCATCATTCAACTTCAGATCCAGGCCTCTGCCACTAGCAGCACCAAACTCTGGTTTTCAGGTTGATGTGGGAAGGATTTGCTGCTTGCAGATCACAGAGCAGCTAAATTTCCCAGATGACTCTGCCAGATGGGGCTTCCTGCCTGCTGAAATGTGGGATGGACACAACGGGCAAAGGGAGCCCGGTGGAAGGTGATAGGTGGTCCGGGGCTTTCTTGCTGTCAGCTTGTCCCTGTCCACCTAGCTAATTCATCCTCTCCACAGACCCCATGTTCCGTTCCTACCTTCCCTCTGAGAAGTCGTGAGTCATACATTCCAGTCCCCTTATTCTCCTCCATGTGGCCCAGTCAGGTTTCCCTAGGGCCTTGGGGATGCTGCTGTTCTTTCTGTTCTGCAATCCCTTCTAAGAGTGAGTGCATTGCCGCCCCTGGTTGAGGCTTTCTGCTCTGCTAAGCACATATACCACTGAGACAGTGCTATCCCTGCCCCTGTGTTGCCCACGAGACAGCTGATGGTCAGCGAGGTTAGGTGATTCACTAAAGATCACATGACAGGAAAGCAGCAGAATCCCCACTTTCACCCTTCATGAGATTATGAATCCCTGTGAACTCTCTCCAATTGTTTGGTCTCAACCCAGACCTGCCTCCAACCTTTTCCTCTACACACTAGGAAGCCCCCTGATACGTGAGATTCTTACTGATCCTGCAGGGCCCTGTCTTGAGCAAGGTGCCCCCAGGCAGAGCTGAGTGCGGACTGCTGAGCTTTGTTCTCATATCCCTGCACATGTCACCTAAAGGGTTCTTACCAAGAACAACTCAGACCCAATGACTCCCCACCCCCAGCTTTGTGGTCTCTCAGCTATGTGACCTCAGACAGGCAATTTAATGCTCTGATCCTCAAATGTTCTTATCTATAAAATAGACAACCTGTTCCCTAGTGTCTGGAATCCCATGGTCACAACACCCGAGACACATATACATCTGATGGGCTGCATGACAGAGAAACCAGGGACAAGGGCAATCTCCTGGGAGAAGGGGACCGACTCCTGAACAGCATCAGAGGGGCCACTCGGTAGACAAGCTTGGGTAAATGTCCTTGCGAGCTCTCAGGACCACAGGGTGCCCATCATTCTCCTTGGTGTATTTATAAGCTGACATGGTGATGGCCAGTGGGGAGCACCTTGGCTGTGGTGGCGGTGTGTCCCTTATTTCCTTTGACAGAACACTGGCCTCGAGCCTGGAGCTCCCTGCCTCAGGCTGTCTTCACCTGTCAGGCCCGAGACAGGGATTTCACAGCTGGCAGCACCCATCAGCTACAATACGCCTCTGGCCGCTGCACACATCGGCTGCTGCTTCACCCTCTGTGGCTCTGGCTCTCCTCCCCACTGGGTCACCCTTGGGCTTGCTCAATTTCTGCTCGCTGCCTCACTCTCCTTAAGAAAAAGGACTGCAAATCACTGGAAAGGCAGATTTAAAATAACATGAACAAACAAGCTGATGTGCCCAAGAGAACCGAGCATGTCCCTCTCGTGGAGAGCAGCCCTGGTCTATACTTCGGACTTGGGGCCAGGAGGATCAGCTTTCCAATTCATAAAAAGAAAGAAAGAAAGAAAGAAAACAAAACAAAAACAAAAATAAAAACAACAGCAATAAAAACAAAACTTGCTCAGTTTACTTGAAGGGTAGCATTACAGAGGGATAAACAGAATCACAGAAAGAAAGAGAGAGAGAGAGAGAGAACCTTCCATCTGCTGGTTTATTTCCCAGATGGCTGTCATGGCCAGAGCTGGGCCGGGGGAAGCCAGGATCCAGGGTGGCAGGAACCCAAGCATGTGGGTAGTTTTCTGCCAGCAGTGCCAACGTCCCATTTGGGTACCTGTTTGTGTCCTGGCTGCTCCACTTCCCACCCAGCTCTCTGCTAATGCTCCTGAGAAGGTAGCAGAAAAGAACCCTCATGCCATCTCCTAAATCCTCACATCCACCCTCCATCCATCAGTCAGTGTGTATGTGTGTGCTCCTTCAGAAAACATCCCACTCCCTCCACATCATTACAGCAGTGTAATGGAAAAATCCCATCCATGAGCCCAATCGGCCCCGTTTGTAAATATCCCATGCTCTTCAAGTGGATTCTGCAAGCATGGCTGTGCCTATTACCTGCATAGATTTGGGTGCAAAATGGATCTCTGCTTCCTTCTGCTTGCCATCACCCTTCCATCTGACATTCTAACAGCATCAAGAGAATATGCCTTGTTTTTAAACCTTGCCAGTTGCTGGGTACAGCTTTCAGCTTCTCTGTCGGTCAGTAGTTCTGCTCCACCCATCTTCACATGCAGGGCTGTGCTTTGCTGTTTGGTTTATCAGCCTGAGAAGGACTGGATTCTTGGTGTCGCCTAGGGCTTCAGGCTCAGCGCTATTGACATTTGGTCACATAGTATGTGGGGTAGCTTGTACTGTGCCTTGTAGAGTGTTGACCAGCATCTCTGGCCTTTGCCCCAACCCCAGCCCTGAGTGGAGACAACCAGAGACGTGTCTAGACATTGCCGGTTGACTCCAGGGGTGACAACTCACTTTCTGTTAACAGTTCTCATGCTAAAGGAGCGGGGTGAGGCGGGGAGTGAAATGGATGGGCCAATAGAAACCAAAAGCTTTTCCTAACAGCCCTGGACAATGAGAATGAACACTGAGAATGAGTCGGGGCCACAATACTCGCGTGCCAGTATGCCCTTTATGATTCTGCTTGTCCTACATCTGTGAAATGGGAACAGTGATTGTAACTCACCTGTCAGGACTGTCATGGCATGAACCTGTATAGTAACCCACATGTTTACTGGCTCCAGAAAACATTCCATCAATTCCCATCATGTGTGTATGTGTGTCATCTTTGTCTTTGCTGCCCTCTGAGGATGGAAACGTAGAGGCATCTGGGTGACCAAATTGGAAGAAGCTTGTCTTTGTTCTGCTCTCTTGCCAACCTGCCACCCCAGATCCAGTCCCTGGGCTCAGATTCAGAAATCATCCTCTGGGATTATTCTCCATATGGACATTCCCTAATCCATTCCATGTTTATCCCGGCCACATGGCATTGCTGTTTCAGAGCCTAGCTCTGGGGTCTATACCCTGGATGCAGCAATTGCTGTATCCCTGCTCACAACCCAAGGGCTCCAAGGCAAAGCACCCACCCTATCCTATACAAAACGTGAATCCCCTAAGAGTCCAATAATTCCAGCTGCAGACCAAGCCCCTGAAGGAGAGTCCTGCAGGTGACAGGTGCTGGTGAACATGTACGAACGTGTGGGTGAGTTGAGCTCTTGCCTTAGTTGACTTCTGCTATGGCTCTCTGTATCCAGGAGAAGTATGTGGAGGAGCTGGCGGCCGTGAGGCAGACCCTGCAGACAGACCTGGAGACGTCCATCCGGAGGATTGCTGACCTCCAGGCAGCCTTGGAAGAAGTGGCTTCGAGCGACAGTGACACTGAGAGGTACCCTGCAAGGGACCAGCAGGGTTGGGCACAGCTTGGTGGAGCTATTGGGGATCCAAGGACACTGAGGAGCTGGAGGGTCACTGGCTTGCTTGGAATGTGGAATGCTACTGCACTGGTGCTGACACCTCATTACATGGAAACCCTCTGGCCTGGTTCGCCACACCCATGTGGCTGGGCAAGTTGCATATCTGATCCAGGTCTTATTCCCTTACCTGTAAAGCAGACAAAATCCTATTAGGAGAAACCACAGGAAATGGCCAAGAATCAACCACCTTTGATCTACAGATTGGAAGTTTTTAATGTGCAGCCTACTATTCACCTCTGGGGCTGTTAGATGTTCTGTGGATGAACATTACTTAGAACAGAGCTAGACTGTAGAAGTGCGAATACATGTAAGCTTCCACCAAACAATGAACATTGCGTTAGAAACAAGGATGCAAGGTGGTTAGAAGACTGATAGTCAATTGCCACAGGCCTTGGGAAGGCTGCTCACCTGCAGGAAGCTCAACGTGTCCTAGATGGGCACATGGGTCCATGAGATTGTCGCTTGAAGATGTCCCTTGCACAGTCTGCGAGGCTGTCCCTTGCAGATGATCAAAGCATCACGTTCCCAAGAGACAGCTCTTTCATCTCCTGGTTCACTTGCCAGTTGGCCTCAATGGCCAGGACTGGACCAGGCCAATATCAGGAGCCAGGCATTTCAACTGGGTCTCTTACTTGGGTGACAAACACCAGGGAACTGAATCAGAGGAAAGAAGCCAGGACGTGCACTGGCACTAATATGAGATCCCACTATGCCATAATGCCTGCCTCAAGGGCTTTAACTAAAAACGTTTTTTCTTTCCTTTGTTCATGCTCAAGTGGCTCCCATGCATGCTCTGAATATTTCTTCCCTTCCCTGTTCATTTGCTCAGCTGCCATACAGCTGGTAAAGTAGCAAATACTAATGGTGTAGCCACTTCCTAGCTCACGAATCTGCTTAGACACCCCCACCTCCTTTCTGCTGCCCTCTTCTCTTGTTCTTCTGGTGTCATGACAACTCACCCCAGTAATTAAAAACCCCTGTCCACACAACTGGTTTGTCCATTAATAGAACAAGGCAGCATTGGCTTCAGTCAAAATGAAAATGAACAGGGATCTACGTGATGGCTCAACAGGCCAATCTGCTGCCTGCAAGTTCTGGCATCTCATGTGGGCCCTGGTCATGTCCCTGCTGCTCCACTTCCCATCCAGCCCCCTGTGTATGGCCTGGGAAGGCAGTAGAGGATGGCCCAAAGCCTTGGGACACTGCACCCACATGGAAAACCCAGAAGTTCTTGGCTCCTGGCTTCTGGCTTCAGAATAGCTCAGTTCTGGTTGTTACAGATATTTCGGCAGTGAACCAGTAAAAAGAAGATCTCTCTCTTTGTCTCTCCTTCTCTTTGTAAATCTGCCTTTCCAATAAAAATAAGTATATCTAAAAAATGGAAATGTGTGACTGATGGATACTGGGATGCCTTGCCAAACAAGAAAAATTTTTGAACCATTTGTACTTGTGTCGCAAAAGATGGTTTTTCTAATAAACAATAGAAGATTAAAAAAAAAAACTTGGAAAGAGGTATAAGGATCATAGTTGGAGGTGCCAGTAGCAAGCAAGTGAAAATTTTGATAAGAGACCAGGTCAAGATTTCTTGTTAGATGTGTGGGGAAGTGAAATATGGTTTAGAGGCAGGATGATGGCTGGGTGGTGAGATCATCAATAGGACATCTCTCTAGTCTGCTCTGGTGGGGGGGAATCCTTTTCAGTCTTAATTGGGCTTTCCCCTCATCTTTTTGTAAAAATCTGTTATTGATAAAGAGAGACAGACAGAGAGAGAGAGAGAGAGAGAGAGAGAGAGAGAGAGAGAGAGAGAGAGAAAGGAGAGAGAACACAAACTTTTCCTGGATTACTACCCAAATGTTTGCAATAGCTAGGGCTAGGCCAAGCTGGATCCAGGGATCTGGAATTAAGTCTAGGTCCTTAGGTGGGTACCAGGACCCAAGTACTTGAATCACTACCTACCAGCCTTCCAGCATCTGACTTAGTATAAAGTTGGAATGGAACGCAAAGCCACAGTTCCAATGAGGCACTAAATGAGACATGGGTATCTCAACCAGCACTTTAACTCTTGCACAATTGCCCTATATCCCCAACATCTTCTTAAAATCTCAGGCTCTCTCTGCGTTCCTGGTGATAAAACACATTGTCTGTTTTGATCCCCCAGTCTCAGTTTTGTATATGCCAGCTTTGTGTCCATCTTTCCATGGTCCTGTCTCTAGTGCCTTACAGTTGGTCTCCCTCATGCCTTCTAATAACTTTTCCTGGACTGGACCACTGGTTTCCATGCAGCACCTGCCTCATCATTCCCAGTGTTGAAAGGGAGCTCACCTGTGTGTGGCACTGCTGTTGTGAGGGTATGAAGTGACTAGTTCATAAGGAATTAGTTAAGGAATGCCTCCTGTACCCAGCAATACACCATGCAAGGTGTAGGGTTACTGTGGTTGGCTATGGGGAAGACCATGAAGGGCATGGGGTCTCCATTTCAACCAAATTGATTTCCAGTTAGGAATCCCATGGCAAATTTCTGCATGCTCTTGACCGAGTTGATTCACCTCTCTGAGTGTTAGTCATTTCATTGCTAAGAGGGGTTAGACATTACTAAATGAAACAACAGGATGACCTAGAACCATGGCTTATAAATCACAGGTATTCAACAATTATCTACTGCATTCATTCATTCATTCATTCATTCATTTGATAAAGTCTTTCCTGGCCCTTGTTCCATGCCAGACACTATGTTAGGTACTTGTATCTTTCCATTCACTCCTCATTGTCATTCTTCATTACCAGTAAAGAGATTGCTTACCCAAAGTCAGGCAGAAGTCAACATTCAGGCCTGCACTGCTGTGTGTGTACAATTGCTGGGAACAGGGAGAGGTGTCAGCAGGGCTTCTGCTCGCATGGAAGTTGCATTCTGATAGAAGCATGTGTGTGTATGTGTGTGTATGTGTGTGTGTACATGCACATTCAAGTGTATATCCATGTCCATAAAGAAAATGAACACTAAGAAAATGCAAGAGTTATAGAGGCAGAGAACACAGTGACATAATGAACAGTAGGTAGGTAGACATACCCTCTTTCAGACTAAGTGGAAAGAGGACTCGAATGAGAAGGAAGATGTGGGGAAACATGAGTTAAGGCAGAAAGAGGTATGTTCTAGAAAGTGAGAGAAGACTAGGATCTCCAAGGCAGGCCAATGAGGGAACAGTGGCTCTCTCTTCACCCCACCCTCCCATCTTTCTTGTCCTCTGGAAATGGCCCACAAAACTGCCCACAGACACACCCAACCTCAATCTGTTAAAGTGAACAAAGAACCCCAGACAGGAGTGGTTGCCTTCTTGGTAGACTCCAGGGAGGACAGGAAAAGGAAGAGCTCTTTGGTCAGAAATGAAAGATTTCAAGGCAGTGGCAATAGGGCGATCACCTAACTGTGGGATCTTCTCAGTAACGGTCCATGACCCCTGGGATGGTTCTTAGCATGTCCTAAGTCTCAGCAGAGCAGGGTCGTGTGTGTGCCTCCTTGCAACTTGGAGTTAACACCCAGCACAGACCTTCATAACATCACAAGTCTGAGAAAACAGGGAACAAATTAACCACCAAGATATCTTAACTCATTTCAAAGAATTGCCATGGTACAAAGCATGTTAGATCATGCCATGATCAACTTGGTCATCACCAATTAAAAAGTAGACACATGGGTCTGGCGCAATGGCTCAGTGGCTAAATCCTCACTTTGTATGCACTGAAATCCCATATGGGCACCAGTTCATGTCCTAGCTGCTCCACTCCCCATCCAGCTCCCTGATTATTGCCTGGGAAAGCAGTAGAAGATGGCCTAAAACCTTGGGACCCTGCACACACATGGGAGACCCAGAAGAGACTCCTGATTTGGGCTCAGCTCAGCTCCAGCTATTGCAGCCACTTGGGAGTAAAGACAGAAGATCTTTCTCTCTGTATCTCCTACTCTCTGTAAATCTGCTTTCCCAATAAAAACAAGTAAATCTTTCTTTAAAAAACAAAGTAGACATGTATTGTTAAGTTTTAAGTCCACTGTCAAGAGCATATTTTCCACCTCCAATCCCAATGCCACATTGGTTTCTTCCTTGTGCTGGCAGCTCCACACTACACTTTTCTTGTAATTATTTCATTACTAGGAGTGAGAAGTTTGGATTGGAGCCTGAGGGATTGGTCTGGGGTGCTTCTTCAAACTGAGTTCTCAATTAGGATTCAAACCCACCCCAGGTGGGGAGGAGAGAGAGAAGAAGAGGGAGAGAGATGCTATAACTGCAGGTGAGGTTCTGGGAGAGACTTGTTCAAATTATAAAAAGTCACATTTTCCCATGTTGGGAATTAGATCTGAGCGTAACAGGCCTTCCAGGCTCGAAACAGTGGCTACGTGCTCAGAAAGACAGGTGGCCTGTGAGGTAGCATTTAGACACGTGCCCTCCTGCAGTAAGGCCCTGTATTGTAACTCAGACTCTGGCGGCAGCCTTCTTAGATTAATGGAGAAATGCCTGAAGCTGGTCCCTGGGGCTTGAAGCATACTCATTACTCACAGGGGAGGGAGGGAGGCGTTAGCTGACAGACGATCCCCATCTATTCCCGGCTCAGGGTGTGCAGCTGCTCTGTCTGTCGCTTTGGCTGGAGGGGGATTTTGGTGGGCTGCAGAGAGGTCAGTGGATGACCTCTGACTCTTGGGTATGCTGAGAGTACATCAATTCCTCCTCAGCTGGCCCCAATCTGAAACAAATGTTCTGGCAGAGTGCTGTGTCGCCTAGTCAAGTGTTAAGTTGGACACTTTCCAATATGCATCCTGACTAAAATGAGGCTGCAATAGGACAAGTAGGACACATAGAAAGATCTGGGCCCAGATTTTTCAGGCTGGCCCCAATCAGCCAGGATTCTAGGACCCAAGATCTGCCGTCATGTCAAAGCTCCCTGATCTCTGCCCAGTAACGGGCATGTTCTGAGGCTGAACTTGGAGTCTGTTGTGATGAACAGGGGCCAAGGAGTTTGGGTGCTTTTTTTTTTCCAGGTCATATTTGCATTTAGACTGGAGTTGTCTGGCAGAGACTCTCCTTAAAGAAATACACCTGAAGACATCTAATCAATTATCATGCTCACCATCTACCCCCCCTGTTTAAAAATCACTGCCAAAAGTTCTTTTAAAGAAAAAAAAAAAGCAACTACATGCACCAAGGTGAGAGAAGAGACTATTGTTGAATGTCTGTTTGCTACTCTAGTTCTGGCTGATTTTCTTCTGATCTTTCTTCCTGCTAATCTACCCACGAAGGCAGTAGATTGTGGCCCAAAGACTTGGACTTCTGCCGGTAATTTGGAAATGACCCCAAGGGAATTCTGGGCTGTTTGCTCCAGCCTGGCACAACCCTAGACATTGTGTCCATTTGCGGGATGGACCAGTGAATGGAAAGTCTCCCTCTCTCTTTGTCTTCCTTTCAAATCAATTATTCTTTTTTAAAAGTGCAGGTTGTAGTTCTTAGACATTCTCAATCCATTCTCTTTATTGTAAACGTACTCTGTTTTGCTGAGCCTCCCCTCCATCAACACACACACATGGCAGGGAATATGTGGCCCACGCTGGTCATCACCCTTGGTCTAGACAGTATTTTGTCATCAGACAAAATGACCAACCACCTGGCTGATATTGACTTCTGACTCAGGAGTCCTGCCTCAAATTCAAGTCTATAGGCAGAAGCAGTCAGTGCACAGGTGCTTTAAAATGTGGGATTAATTAGCATGCATGCCCACATATTTTTATTTGTTCTCATGCCTGGTTCTTTCTCACAGTGATTTGCTTAAGAGGAGCTTATCATGACTACATGTAAGCTTTTGTTCTTGCAAGACTTATTCTTCAGATTCTTCACCATTTCTGATGGGTCAGGCCTGCTGCTGCTGCACTGATGATGATGATGATGATCATGATGATCGTAATGATGTGTCATACATTGGCTTGGAAAACTCTGGTCTTCCGATGTAGGTGGAAACCCACACTGAGATTGGTTGGATGACCTGGAAAGCAAGCTTCAGATGAAGACAGTTTAAAAGGGGGAGATTGGAAGTGAAGGTGTGGGTGAGGTGTAAAGAAGCCCCGATGAGTGGTACAGCAACAAGAAGCTAGGAACAACTGAGAGTAATAACTGTCCTGCAACTTAGAAGGTAGAAGGAGAAGGAATTATCACCAGAACCCAGGGAGAGAGGCTGGCATAAGGAATGAGAGAGGAAAAGGGAGAGTGGGCAGGGAGATATGGAAGAAGAGAGAGGGAGAAAAGGGAGACAAAGATGAAAGGACTGAGTAGAGAGGGTTGTCTGGCACAAAGAGCTGTGGCCTTTGCGGGACAGTCCCAGCACAAGGAGATGCACAGAGAGGAATTCACAGTGAATACTCTTGCTCCTGCTTGGCCTGTATCCTGCAACTGTCAACTGAGTTCTGCTTTGGCTGGACACAAGGGGAAGCCGTGAGGGGCAGAGAGTCCATTGGTATGGGCCTTGTACATCAGAGTCCAAATGGGCAACGGGATGGAGAATGAGCATGAAGCAAAGTGGAAGTGTAATGGGAAGATGTCCAGTGCACAAGGTCACCATGAAGTGAATGGGTTCCCAGTGATGCAAGCAGAAGCCCTTTCAGAAGGCACGGATCTGAATGTTGCATCCACTCATGGGGATTCACACTTACAGAGTCTGTAGGATATACAACAGATAAGAATTAACAGATGAAGTGGCCACTATGGTGCAGCAGGTTAATCCACTTTGTGAGATGCCTTCTTCCTATATTATTGCCTCAGTTCAAGTCCCAGGCTTGATCCAGCTTCCTACTAATGTGAGTGCATGTTGGGAAGCAGCAAATGATAGTTCAAGTACTTGGGTCCCTGCAGCGTGCATGAGGGAACTGGATTGAATCCCACACTCCTGGCTTTGGTCTGACCCAGCTCGGACATGTAGGCATTTGGATAGTGGAATAACAAATGCTATCTATCTATCTATCTATCTATCTATCATTGATCTCTCTCAAATAAAATAAAAATAAACTTTAAAAAACAGAGTTAGCAGCAAGCTGTACATTGATTAGTTGTGGGGTGATAAAGACTTTCTTGACTCAAGGTTTGAATAAATATTGGTGTTTAGTCAGACACAGTGTGAGAGGAACTATTCCAAATGTAAATGAATGAGTGTAACTATGTTTCTATAAATCTTGTGCCATTTAAGAAAAAAAAATTGCATATCCTTGGAATTAGATATCAGGACATGGGCATCTTTAGGGGCCATTATTCTGCCCACCACAGGGTCATTTATAAGAGGTAGTTTTGTTTCTGTTGTGAAGACATTGTGTGTGTGTGTGTGTGTGTGTGTGTGTGTGTGTGTGTGTGTGTGCCATATTTGTTGAAGGAAAGAACGTTCCCTGAAGAATAGCTACTGCTGTAATTAATTTTCGAGTTCCCCACAATGCTGTGGGAAGCCACCCTGCCCCATTCCTACATTGCTAGGCTCACAAAGGACATAAAGCACAGGCCTTGTATGTGGACGATAATGATGCTGTTAATAACAGGTAGTACAAGTTGTACTAGAGTAACTATAATGTTTGCTGCTGTCTAATTAGCAGTATCTGTTGGCTTGGGAACCATGCTGAACGATTCACAAAGGTCATCTCATGGGCCAGGTTCAATGGCTCAGTGGCTAAATCCTTGCCTTACATGTGCTGGGATCCCATATGGGCACTGTTTTGTGTCCTAGCTGTTCCGCTCTCCATCCAGCTCCGTCTTTATGACCTGTGAAAGCAGTGGAGGATGGCCCAAAGTCTTGGGAAGACCCCAAGGAAGCTGCTGCCTCCTGGCTTCAGATCAACTCAGCTCTGGCCGTTGTGGCTACTTGTGGAGCAAACCAGTGGGCAGATCTCTCTCTCTGTCTCTCCTTCTTTCTCTAAATCTGACTTTCCAATAAAAACAAAAGGTTATCCCATAAATCTGGAGGCAGACATCCAGTTTTAAAAAAGGGAGGCAGGGCTCAGAGGAAGCAAGCAACTTCCCCTATAGCACACAGCAGCAAAGGTAGAAGGTGGGGCACAAACCCAAGTCTGTCTGCCATCAGTTAACCTGTTTCCCAGGCCATGTAACAGACTCTAACCTGTGATTCCCTTTAGTGTCCAGACGGCGGTGGATTGTGGCCCTGGCGGCAGAAAAGAGATGTAAGTTAACCTCGAGTGGAACTGAGCAGCTTCCAGGGGTGAGCCCCAGGGTCTGAGCGGCTTCCAGAGGGAGCACCCACACTCACTTGAGGAACTTTCAGCAAATCCCACAAATGCTCCAGCTATTCCTCCAGCCTACCCAGTCATTGTACAGAACCTAGGGGACATACAGTTGAGCTAATCTCTTTCAGACAAAGGAATCCATGCTTTACCATGTGGCTGCCCCCTTCACTGGCTCCACAGGACTCCAGAATAGACTTTTTAGACTGACATTTAGGCCTTGTGTATTCTGTCCCTTCCTTTCTTCTCTGCATGTGGTTCCTATTTCCATATGGTCTGTGTCCTGGTCTTTTATAACCTCCCTACCTGAAATTTCTTTCTTGAGTTGCCACATGGCAAAGTCCAGTCCTGGAAAGGAAATCTCAACTTTATTTTTCAAGGCCTTCTTTTATGTCTCCAGGAAGTAAATCCCTGTCACACTTAAGACTCATTCACTGTCCTCAGAGTCTTCAGAACAGGGTCAACGTGAAGTCCATGTGTTCAACTCCCCGACCCATGATATCTCATATCAAATTATATGTATATAATTACATAATTTGATAACTAATTATACTTATCATACTTTTATGATGCATAAAATTCAATGCCAGGCTTCATCCCCCTCACTGGGAAAGCTTTGATGTCTGCACTGGAATGTTTGTCTTCTCAAGGAGGAACACAGCAGTTGGTGGCATGGGCATTGGAGCAAAAAGGAACAGGATTTGTGCCCCCAACTTCATCACTGACTGGCTGAGACACCTTGGGCAAGACCTAGTTTGGCCTCTCCAGATCCAAGCACTTCTACCTGTTACAAGGGCACCGTTAGTGATTCCCACTCTGTAGGATGGGGGTGATGTTATATATATATGCGCCCAGTGGCTGGCTTAGGTCAGGGGCTAAATGTCTAGTGATTGCTGTGACTACGATTGTTATCATTAAGATGGTGTATCTTGCTTTCTGATTCTAGGGATAGCATCTCCATCATCAGTTCCCAGCCCGAGGGCAGTTTGCAGTCCTGGTCGAGCTGTACCCTCTCGTTGGCTGCAGACTCAGCGAGGAGCCCCTCTCGACAGTCAACTGTCAGCAGCCACTTCCACAGCCCCAGGTAAGGGTATCTCCGTGCCACCTTCTCGTGGCTCACAGCTCCTAGCACCTCTCAGACTTTGCATGTGTGAAATTCCCACTTTCCAGCTGTGGACTTTAGTCAGGTTGCCATGGAAGTCTCTGCCTTTTTACCTGTAAAACATGGACCATAACTGTATTTATTAACATAGATGCTTGGAACATTGTAGCTTTAATGGGATCTTCCCCCAAACGTGGTTTTCCATATGATTTGAAATAGCACAGAATAAGCATTTAAAAATAACAAGGAAGTTGTTGCTCCTCTGTAAGGCAAATCAGACTAGCATTCCATTTTTGAATTAAAAAAAAAACTTTCATTATCATCACTTGAGTGTTTTTTAAAAATGGAATGTCATTATAAAGGAAGTGGAGCTGAGTTAATCCCATTTGGGGGTCTGAGCTTTATTGAAGGTCAGTGTTTTCGAATTTCCCTACCACGGCGGGAGATGAATTTGATTGTGACATGTGATGGGCCCTTGACCAGTCTGGGATTTCCAACAGGCAGGCTGCCCTGGCAGATGGGTCCTGGAATTCATGGAACCTCAGCTGTTTGACTGACATCCATCTTCCCTCTCGCTTTTCAGCTCCATTGCTCCGAGTCCTACCTGGTTTTCCTTTTCAAGGGCGGCCCTCTTGTAATTAGGAGCTAATGGCCATAAATCAGAAATTAGGGATTCTCCAGGTGTGTAATGAAGATGAAATGTATCCCACTTCTGTGATAACAGAAAGATAAGATAAGATAGAAAAAAATGTGATAAGATAGAAAAAAATTCACAAAACTACTGGAGCCAGTGAGCCTGGCCACCCCTTGTTGATTTGAAATGTGTTTGTCCTGTAGCAGGGGACGGCAGTTCATGCTGACCTTTTGGGCACATTTGGCAAGTGTTGACTGCCTGGCAGATCATCTTAGGCTAAAAGATTCAATGTCGAATATATCAAAAGGAGGATTCTATGCATAGCAGTACATCTAGGGAGTTAATTAAAGCAAGATTATCCGATTACTGCTCTTAATTAGAAACATGGGTCTATGGGAGAAAGAAGTGTAAGTCTGAAAGGAATGAGAGCTTTTCTCTCTTGATTACTAAATACTTTTGTTCTTTTCCATGTGCCTGTGCAAGGAGTAGAAGCAGAACTAGAAACAGCCAGAGCATAGTGCACCTGCTGATTAACATTCAAGCTTTTTTTGTTTTAAGTTTAATTTATTTGAGAATCTTGTCCCTTAGCTCACTCCTCAGATGCCCGCAACAGCCAAGGCTAAGAACTCAATCCAGGTCTCCAACACAGAGTAGCAAGGATGCAGTTATTTGAGCCATCACCTGCTGCCTCCCAGGGTCTGCAAGTTTTGAAAATACCCTCCTATACTGAAGAGCTGTTTCCTTGGGTGTACACGCTTGTCCAGCTCATCCTTTTACATTCCTTTAAAAGTTTAAATCAGGAGCCTGTGCGGACTTATTGATTGTAGCCTTGTTTCAGTTCTAGGCTCCCTCTAGATAGTAGCTATGAACCTGTCAAGCTTCAGACAAACACGCATCCTCGTACCCGTAAGCAAATGATTCTTCTGCTCACTAGACATTTATTTGCCTTTTAAATTTGTGTCACTGTCACCCAGTTGCCTCCACATCCTTTCTGCTGGGAGACTCTCTAACAGCAGAGAACAGGACTCCTGTACAGCTGTTCTCGTCTTACCGGCCCCGTATTAGGGCTCTTGTTCACCTGCTCTCCTGTCTTAGTGGCATATAGTAGGACCAGTAAATGGACGTTTTTGATTTGACTGAGAAAGAAGGTCGTTGAAAAAAACAGAGCAGGGAAAGAGAGCAGTTCTTTGCCAAGAAAATAAAAGCATTCCCGTGTTATTTATAAGGGAATGTCAACGCTGAAGAAATACACCTAAGGGCTCGTGATTTACAGCCCAGAATCATGCAGCTGCTGCTGATAAATGCACACGATACTGGAGACAGAGACACTAAATTACCTCTGTGGCCCCGGGAGAGGGAGTTTATGGGCTTGACGGTGGCAGTTGCACTTTGTCGGGGAGTCTCTCTCAACATCTGGCCACAGGTGGTGCCAAGGCCGATTGGGGGCTGGCAGGCTCTCCCTGGTCCCTGCTGCATGCTCAGCCTCTCCTCCCAGGGTCATTGCCCTATGGGAGTAGTGATTTAGCTATATAGATCAGCCCTAGTTCTTTCTTGGCTTCACAGCACAACTGGAGTTCCTTGGGGAGCCCAGGTGCAAATAGACACTGCTTCGTTTAGCTGAGCAGCCTGCTCATGTCTCACCATAGGGCAGTCACTGCTGCCACCATTGCACTGAGTGGCTATCCCAAACCACTCTGACTTCTCCAGCACCTCTCCCTCACACCCAGGAGACCTCTCCCAGTCTCATTCCCTTCAAAGAAAAATCATACTGTCTTTGGCTTTCTACTATGATGTCGTCTGTACATTCAAAGCACATCAGCCTCCCTCCTCCCTGTGGTCCTCAAAGGAAAACTCAGTCCTGCCCTGTACAAGGTTAGCTCCTATTTGTTCTTCCCTCCACACAATACCCCAATCCTTCCAGGGTGCCCTTCCCCTCCTGTATCTTCATCGTCTCTCATTCCAGTTGTGTTCAAGGCCTCAGGGGCCTCCCCAGTATCACCCTATCCTTGCCCATCATTCTTCAGACTTAGTTACTTCTTTCCCTGCCCTTGAGATCCAAGCTTTGCAACAAACAGGTCGGCAAGCACTACATTCCTTTTCTCCACTCTCCTGAACTAGTCTTCTACATGCTGTAGCCCGTTCCCACTTCTGCCCTGCGCCTGTTCTCAACATGTCACTGGATTCTAAAGAAACAGACCAGGGGACATTCTCCAGCCTTCATGTTGCCCTAGATTTCTCTCCTGCATTGCAAACTGTGGAGTCTTGCATGTGATTCTGTTTGCTTGGCCTTCGACTTCTCTTTTCTGGTTCCTTCTCTACCCTATCGCCATCGCATCCCTCAGTTGTGGGAGTGCCCAGGAGGCTGCCACTCTCACCTGGTTTGCTTGCTTGCTCTCCACATGAGTAACGGGTGGTTCTCCTCTTGTGCTGTCTTACTCCCCAGCTGTAAAAATGTGACTCTTGGACCAAGAACAAAACTCTAAGGTTCTATTAGGCTCTAAACATTTGAATCACAGCCAAATGTCAATACTGGTCACCAACGGCTGTCTGCCCTTAACCATGCCTAACAGCAGGCTCAACCCTCCTCACCCACCTCTACTATCAATATCCTTGGGTGGTTCTGTCACTCACGAAGCCAACCAACCCATCTTGGGCTGTCGCCACCACCACACCCAAACCCATGTCTGGCTAAACCCTAAATCTTGCCTATCTTGTCTATTGAAACAGATACTCTTGATTGTACCTTTATTACATTACCAATATCTTTTATAGAGTAATTAGTTTGCTTTTATTAAAAAGGCAGAAAGAGAGAACAAGAGACTATACTCTGGTACACTTCCCCAAAACCCACAATGGCCGTGGTTGGGTCAGGCCGAAGCAGGGAGCCAGGAGGTTCATCTTGGATCTCCCTCTAGGGTAGCAGGGACCCGATTACTTGAGCCATCATCTGCTCCCGCCCAAGATGCTGGGGATGTTGGGGGAACTGGAAGAGCCTCTTACCTTGCAGTTAAATCAGTGTCTTTTACCTGGCTTTGGAAAATAGGATCATTCTAAACCATGGGAATAAAGGATCCTGCAGCAGAATGTATCGTGTAGATACAACGATCAGAATAGCGAGTATTCTCTACCAGGAGAAGGAGGAAATGAGGTGATAACAATAGAATGGAAGTGGTTAAGGAGTGTTTGGGGTTCCCTCTTGGTAGATTTGGGACATGCAAGTAAAAAATGGTATTCCACTCAGAGACTTGATGTATCCCTCAGTTTCAGTGACCAATCACCACTGGATTGGTGATGCTGTGGTTTTAATTTAGTGCCAAGCCCAGCTCCCTACTGTGGCTGTTGGACTTGTACCACATTGCAATGTGAGCCGTGGAGATTATTGTATAAATTATTCTCACTCGCATAATCATCGTGATTTTAATTACTGTGTAATCTTCGCTAATTACTGTTGTATGTATCATTTGCTTTGGTGCCGATTTAACACAACTGCTTTTCGTTTTGGCTAAAAAGATGGCATTACAACTTTTCCTTTTTTTTTCCTGGGAGGAAATTTGCTTTCCGTAAACACTTTACAGCCCCATACTCTTGGCTTACAGTTCTTAGTTAAAAAGAAAATGATTTAGACAGCACCACCACCCCCGTTTGTTTTCATCTGGTATAAAGCTGGCTCGAATTAGCAGAAAGGTCTAAATGATAGGGTGATTTTTTTTTTTTAAATAAAGTCGTATTACTTTCAAGGAAATGCAATTATACTAGCACAAACATGAAGCCAAGGATGGGTCACGTGAGGGCTGCTTAAATGATTAGATAAGACTCGTTTGTAATTAGTTCATTAATTATGTATATGGGAATGAATGGGGCTTAGCATTAAAAGCAGCATGTTCTCAAAGTAGGTTAAGCATCCGCCACTAATCTTATTTCCACAGCACACGTATTTCCTGGCCTCTGAATTCTGAGAACCCGAGTGCAGGATAAGTTTAATCCATCCTGAACATGACTTAATAAATAGGTCTTTTATGAATACAGTTTTACATCTTCCTGGAACTTAGGGGTTCTCCTCTGGTTTATGAGTATTAGGAAGATCCGTGGAAAAGATGTTGAGCTAGGAAGTACCAGATTGTTTGAAGGCAATGTCCTGAGATCTTGAGAGACCCGATTGTAAATCCAGGAGACATCCATAAGGGGCATATCACTCTGGACAGATTTCCACGGAAGAAGGGCTGATTCCTGACCACAAACCCATCCAGGTCTTATAAAATTTGACACTCCCCAGAATTACCTGCAGGCTTGTAGAGAACCATTTGAATGTATCATTGATGGCTCATAATGTTCTCTTTGCATCTGCGGC